TCAACACTGCGTGCGGACTGAGGATGGAGTGTGTGAGCTGCCGAGTGTTGTGTTGGAGTAGCAGTAACAGACCTGAGAGAAGGGCTACCCGACGGTGCAGGGTAGAGACGGCCTCCGGAGCGTCTGAGCACAGCCTCCTTCAGGATCCTACGTCGGGAAGCGGAGGTTTTTGACCGGGATGACGGCCGCCGATCAGGTCCGGCGGCAGACCGGCGGCCCAGTGCAGGAGATGTAGCCGGTGGAGGAGATGCAACAGTGTCGGCAGGCACTGTGCGCCGAAAGAGATCCATATCAGGGAGACTCGAAGCCGCAGGTGCATCAGCTGGATGGACCAGAGTGTCGTTAGACAAGGCTGCATAGCGGTTGGAGAGGCCGATGGCGGAGGAGAGGCAGCCCCATCCGAGCCTCTCTTGCAGCCACGGACCACCACTTCAGCCCAGGTTGACTGATGCTTCAGAGTCGAGCAGGATGAAAGCCTGGGAAGGGTCCCAAAACACGGTGTCCTGGATGTTAGCGGTTGCGCTAAGAGAAACAATCTGTTTGGCTTGTACTGAAGCCACATCCATAAAGCCAGTCAGCAGGGAATCTTTCTCTTAAAGATGGATTATGTGCCACATCCCAGTCTTCTGCTGGATCACTGCTACAGTTCTGGAGGAGGTGTTGAAGACCAGAGAGGGAGGAGAGCTGCCCAAGACCCTGACTGAGATGTTCATCCACTTCCTGGTGGTTCAGTCCAAACTGAAGAACATCAAGTATGATAGAGGAGCTGAGACAGATCCACACTGGAGTCCAGAGAGCAGGAAGATGATTGAGTCTCTGGGAAAACTGGCTTTTGAGCAGCTGCAGAAAGGCAACCTGATCTTCTATGAATCAGACCTGACAGAGTGTGGCATCGATATCAGAGCAGCCTCAGTGTACTCAGGAGTGTTCACACAGATCTTTAAAGAGGAGAGAGGGCTGTACCAGGACACAGTGTTCTGCTTTGTCCATCTGAGCCTTCAGGAGTTTCTAGCTGCTGTTTAAGTCCATCTGACCTTCATCACCTCGGGTGTCAATCTGCTGGCAGAAGAACAACAACCTCCTGGTGGTTTAAACTGTTCGGAGAGAAATCAACACATTTCTACCAGAGTGCTGTGGACAAGGCCTTACAGAGTCCAAATGGACACCTGGACTTGTTCCTCTGCTTCCTCCTGGGTCTTCCACTGCAGACAAATCAGACATTCCTATGAGGCCTGCTGACACAGACAGGAAGTGGCTCAGAAACCAGATAGCAGTTGAGTACATCAAGAAAAGATCAAAGAGACTCCCTCTGCAGAGAAAAGAATCAATCTGTTCCACTCTCTGAATGAACTGAAGGATCGTTCTCTAGTGGATCAGATCCAACGTCCCTGAGTTCAGGAAGTCTCTCCACAGATAAACTCTCTCCTGCTCAATGGTCAGCTCTGGGCTTCATCTTACTGTCATCAGAAAAAGATCTGGACGTGTTTGACCTGAAGAAATACACTTCTTCAGAGGAGGCTCTTCTGAGGCTGCTGCCAGTGATCAAAGCCTCCAAGAAAGCTCTGTAAGTGGGATTTATTTATCAATAAATACTATTTTTTTAACAGGAGAAAAAAAATTCTTGTTTCCTTCCTGTTGTCTCTCCAGACTGAGCAGCTGTAATCTCTCAAGGAGAAGCTGTGATCATGGCTGTATTTTGTTCTAATTCAGATTCAAACTTGACAGAGATGGAGAACCTCATTTATGTTTTGATATCATAATTACTGGTTGAATGTTTATTCCGGATTCGGTCATGATTAGTTTCCACATCTCCAACATGATTAAAGTAAAATGGCAAAGAAGAATCACCAAATCACCAGCATCACCAAAATCTTATTTTTTCACATTTTAACACAAATGTTGTTTGCCTTCGTGTTGATTATTTCCTCTCCAGACTGAGTGGCTGTAACCTCTCAGAGAGCAGCTGTGAAGCTCTGTCCTCAGTTTTCAGCTCCCAGTTCTCTAGTCTGAGAGAGCTGGACCTGAGTAACAACAACCTGCATGATTCAGGAGTGAAGCTGCTGTCTACTGGACTGGAGACTCCACACTGTACACTGGAAACCCTGAGGTCTGGATTTATTATCCCATTGAGTTGAGGACCATTTAAAATCTGATTTACATTTGTGGATAAACAGCTACACTGTTTCGGATTATTTCTGCTGTTAAGATTTGCAAAGGACCTTTAACTAAACTTTGACAGTAGTTTCTAGACTCTGTAGTGAACCTACAATTTGTTGGTAAATTATGAGTAATTGTACTTGGAAGTATTAATATCATAAGCACTCGTTCAGGGGCACCACCTAAATCGCTGTCCACCCAAGGCCTTTAGGACTCCTTGGGTATAGCTTAATAATTACCACAATTATCACTAGTGATCAGTTAGTTATTAATTGTTCAATTATTTTCAGTTTTGTCAATCAGTCTCAAATCTGAGAATGAGTTTTCCGTGCAGTAACCTGGATTACTAAATAGTACACACACACATTCCTGTGATCAAGGTGAATATTTATATTTGTCAACTAACTAGAGTCAAGACACGTGAGGGTAAATAGGGATATAAGGAAATGAAACAACAGTGATTAAAACACAACCAGAATGAAATCACGGGAGATAGACAGATGTAATAGGGTTCAATGTGAATTCAGTTTGGCTATTGTGGAAAGAATATGACTAAGATAATAAGGAAAACAAACTCAGTTTAAATTGAGACTATTGGTTTTGGGACTAAAGGACATCAAGTTTACCACATAATGTAGTTTGTTTGCCTTACTGCTATGTGCCTTACTCTTGGTGTTTCTTCAATATTCCGTTACTTCGAAGGCCCACAGAGGGACCCTGAACAGAGGGGCTGGCATCAGATTTCCACTGCAATTATATTTTTTTGTGGCAGCGAATGTCAACATACTATAGTCTCTTGTTAGTTGCCGTAGTTATATTCCTATTTGGAAGACCTAATACCAAGTACACAGAGTCCATTTCCAGTTTACAAGACAGGGTCAAGATGGAAGAGCTTTCCATTTTGTCAGCTCCATCAGATATTCCGTCAGGTTTTGTGTCTGACGGAGTGCTCCCAAAAACTGTTTATGTGTATGAATAAAGTGGTGTGAGAATATGACTCGATATATTACTAGTATCTGATAGTTTTCGTTGGTCTTCCAGTGAGCCATTGGAAAGAGGAAGGAAAACCAATGGAAGGAATCTGGAAACTACATGAAGCGTTACAGTTACAAAGTTACAATTGATATCTTAAAACTAATTTGTTAGTTTTCTTCATCTGTTGTGATTTCAATCAGTTTATCAAATATCTGTAATACTTAATCAGTTTTCATCTCCATCAGTTGTCTATGAAGATTCTCAGTCATCCAGGTCATAGTTCTCCAACGAAGGTTAAAAATCAAGGGCAACTGGACTTGGTTGAAGATACTGGAAGACGTTTCGTCCGTCATCCAAAGGACTTCTTCAGTTCTGACTGACTGGCAGGGAAACTCAGCTATTTAACCTCAGTGGGGTCGTTGCCAGGGTCATCGATACCGCTGGTTTGTTAGTGTTCCTTGTTGCTGTGACGACAGTCATTACAGTCGTTAAGACTACCTGTGGCCAAGACTGAACGACCATCGTTGGTATCTTCACCTGAGGCCAATAGGTTACGTTTGTTGAGTTTCCTGGGAATGACGGCTGTCTGATCCAAGAAGAACAAAACTACAGGGGAGGAGGAAAAGAAGGTCAAACGCAACAACATTGTGATTCCATACGTGTCTGGAGTATCAGAGAAACTCAGAGGATTTTCAACAAACATAAATCCCGTGACGCATGGCTCAACACAGAAGGGCCAACTCCTCAGGTCAAGACTCTGCAGTCTACTTACATCTGAAGGACAGAGGACACTCGTTTGAGGACCACCAGGTGCACATTTTAGACAGAGAAGATGGATGGTTTGAAAGAGGTGTCGAGGAAGCATCTACACCAGGGTTGAGAAGCTGTCATTGAACAGGGGAGGGGTCTACGCCACCACTTATCCCCCACTTACAATGCTGTCCTTTCATCACTTCCCAGGAAACTCAACAAACGTAACCTATTGGCCTCAGGTGAAGATACCAACGATGGTCGTTCAGTCTTGGCCACCGGTAGTCTTAACGACTGTAACGACTGTCGTCACAGCAACAAGGAACACTAACGAACCAGCGGTATCGATGACCCGGGCCAACGACCCCACTGAGGTTAAATAGCTGAGTTTCCCTGCCAGTCAGTCAGAACTGAAGAAGTCCTTTGGATGAGGGACGAAACGTCTTCCAGTATCTTCAACCAAGTCCAGTTGCCCTCGATTTTAACCTTCGTTGGATATCTCCATCAGTTGTTTGTCAACACTGTCAGTAATCGTCAACACTGTCACATGAAGGTTTTTGTCTTTTTACAAAAAATATTTACTCTTTGTTCTATTTAGTGTTTAACACACTAACTGAACTACATGCACAATGTCTTTGCCTAAGAACATTGATTATGTGCCCAATATTAAAAATGAATGTACAAAATGAAATTTCAATATTTGAATTTTAAAAATAGTGTGAGATCAGAACAAAAATGTATATATTTTATTACTTAAACATGTTACTTAATACCACTATTAGATACTTGAGGACTTCACAGCCTTGTTATAATTATCAAATTAAAATAGCATGCTTTTTGATGTGTCTGATGGAGTTGACACAAATTGACTTATGAAGTGAATAAATTTCAATTTTCATTTAAAATGTTTTTGAAAAAACCTGTTCCCTTGCATAGTTTGTTAGTTGAGACCTTTGTCTATAAATATATCAATTTCAAAGGAATGTATAAAATAAAGATCTAAAACTGGTTTTGTCCCTTAACTCAAGAATCACCGGTATATGTGTATGAGAACAATGAAATGTTGATGCTTGATGCTGAAAGAGGATGTGCTGGTCTGACTCCCCTCCTCCTTTCAGGGTAGAGCCTGGTGGACTCCGATGGTTGAGACCAGGTCTGAGGAAGTGTAAGTGTTTTTTATTTGATTCATGAAAACAAAGCAGTACACATTCAAACATCTTTAGACTGTGACATCACTCGTTCAAAGCTCTGATGTCATCAAAGTGTCAATCAATGAACAGATGATCGATAAATAACTGCAGCTGTATTGTCTCGTTCTCGCCATCAGATTCCTGTGAACTCACAATCAATGCAAACACAGTAAACAGATGGATCAAACTGTCTGACAACAACAGGAAGGCGATACGTGTGGAGGAGGATCAGTCACATCCTTATCATCTAGAGAGGTTTGACTACTGGTGGCAGCTGCTTTTTGTAATAAATTCATCAATGAACTTTGTACAAAGTGATTCAAAGTGATTGAACAGATTCCTCATTTCCATTGTAAACTTCTTCCACTTCCAGTCCTTTAAAGATGGAAGCTCTGATCATTAAATGGTGGAAATGCCGTTGACTTGTACTTTCTGTCATGTGTTGATTTGAATTCTGGCTCTTGTTCCAATAAAAGCAGAATGTCACTGTAAGTGTGTTTGTTGTCTTTGTCAGAACTACTGACATGATTCAGCTGGAAGATACAACATGGACGTCGTTAGGCCTATTTTAGGGGGGCTGAAGCCACCCTAACATGGTGCTAAGCCCCCCAAATAATAATAAGGAAAATAATTGTTAGATTTAGATTTTCTATTTTTACAGTGCAGAGATGTGCTCAACAAAGATAAGCAAGAATATTGATAAATACCATAGAAACAAACAAATAAAATTTGTATTTGTTGTCTTAAAATAATCCTTCTGGCTCTGTGTCATAATTTAAATCCCTGCTGTGTTTGGGCACTAGGAACCTGAGAGAGGCTGCCTTTCATCGCTGCTGTGTACATGAGGTAAAGTAGAGGGGAGACACTAGTGTTAATGTGAACGCCGTTAATATTACCTATCTCTAGTAGCCTATTTCAAAACAATATCAGTCCCCATAGAATGTTGTTGTCAGTAAAAACTAAATGTCATGATGGCCAATGACCAGATGGATATTGAAGATATTTTAGGAGAGAGAGAGAGATAAACAGGAGAATGGCAGCGCATCTGATTCTGAGGTCAGTAGTGGTCTGCAGGTCAGTAGTATTCTACAGTCAGTCTGTGGTCTACAGGTCTAAGCATGGACTCAGATATGTTTCTCCTGTAGATCAACTTTCTCAAGTAATATCATCCCTGCTGAGTCAGCACACATGCACATGAAAATACACATTAAAATAATTTTGTCCAGTCCATTTTTTAATCATATTTGGCACTGGTACCATACCTAGCTTCTCTCATTGACCAGGATTCAAAGAGCTGCTAACTCTAGTTGATTAATGTTCACTTACATTACTGTAGCTGTTAGCTGATAACTGTTATAAGTGTTATAACAACATAGTATAAGTGTAACTGTAATTCAATGCTGCAACAAAGACTACATATAAGCACCAGGTGAACAAATGATGAACATTCACTTAAAAAGCTCTTTGTTGAGTACATGTCTTCAGTGTTAAATAAATAAATTCTTATTATTTAGAGGGGCTTAGCACCATGTTAGGGTGACTTCAGCCCCCTAAAATAGGCCTAACGACGTCCATGGCTGATATCATCTATATGAACACTAGTGACACTGTTCTTAAGACACTTATTGTGGTTTTTAAGTCTCTGTGTAGATTTGTTCTGAGGTGTCCTTTTAAACTCATCATTGTGTAATTTATTAATCATTAAATTGGCTTCAGCTTAATTCAAGAAGAGACTTCGATTGGTTCCTATTTATTATCAAATGTGCCTATTTCGATTGTCCTCCATATCTGAAAGAAGTCTTGGTTTCTTGTAGTTCTACATATTAACTTAGAGATATGCAATATCTTGTCTTTACTGTACCAAGAATCTTCTCATCTGGACAGAAAGCTTTTCATTATAAGGCTACTGGCAATTGGAACAAACAAAGCCCTCTTTCCTTGAGACCGATCTCATCTTTTCGCAGATTTAGCTTTGCTGCTTAGCAACTCAATTGTTTCGACTATTTATTCTGTGAATTTGTATTCTCTGTATTTATTATTTAATTATTATTATTTATTTTAAGAGGCAGAAACCTCGAGCAGAACCATGTCTCAGGGTGGGCGGCCATCTGCCTCCACCGGTTGGGGTGAAGGAGAGAGAGAGAGAGAGAGAGAGACAGAGCGAGAGAGAGAGAGAGAGAGGGAGAAGAGGAATAGAGAGAAGAGAGAGGGATGGAAGGAGAGAGAGGGGGGGGGAGGCAGCCTACACAATATCCACACAGAGGTACAGACAGTAAAGGTGATGTTGCTATAGACTAAATGAAAAATGGTACAGATATTTATAGTAGTGTTAATGATAACAATCGTAATTATTAATTAATTAATTAATCGTTAATGATTATAATAACAATAGGACTAGTAACAATAGTCGTTGCAGCAGAGGGTGTCGAGCAGGAACACGGGGGCAGCAGGTGACCCGCAACCACAGATCCAGACTCCACAGCTCCAGAGCCAGAAACACCTGCAGGACGTGATAGGAGGAGAGAGGAGAGGGACGAGAAAGCACAAGAATACCAGAAAGGGGAGAAGTTGTGTTAGTAACATGCAATAATGGGATGAGGTTGCATACAGAGGGAGAGAAAGTAGAGGAGAGAGGAGCTTAGTGCATCATGGGAAATCCCCTGGCAGTCTAGGCCTATAGCAGCATAACTAAGGGATGATTCAGGACTAACCTGAGCCAGCCCTAACTATAAGCTTTATCAAAGAGGAAAGTCTTAAGCCTACTCTTAAATGTGGAGATGGTGTCTGCCTCCTGAACCCAAACTGGAACCTGGTTCCACAGGAGAGGAGCTTGATAGCTGAACGCTCTGGCTCCTAGTCTACTTTTGGAGACTCTAGGAACCACAAGTAACCCTGCATTCTGGGAGCGCAGTGCTCTGGTGGGGTAGTAAGGTACTATGAGCTCTTTAAGATAAGATGGTGCCTGACCATTAAGACCTTTGTAGGTAAGAAGAATGATTTTAAATTCTATTCTGGATTTTACTGGAAGCCAATGCAAAGAAGCTAAAACAGGAGAAATGTGATCTCTTTTCCTGGTTCCTGTCAGAACACGTGCTGCAGCATTCTGGATCAGCTGAAGAGTCTTAACGGACTTTTTCGAGCAGCCTGATAATAAGGAATTGCAGTAATCCAGCCTAGAAGTAACAAATGCATGGACTAGTTTTTGTGCATCATTTTTAGACAGGATGTTCCTGATTTTTGCAATATTATGTAGGTGAAAAAAGGCGGTCCTTGAAATTTGCTCAATGTGAGACTTAAACGACATGTCCTGATCAAAGATAACTCCAAGATTCCTCACAGTGGTGCTGGAGGCCAAGGCGATGCCATCCAGGGAAACTATATCTTTAGATAATGCGTCACGGAGGTGCTTAGGCCCCAGAACAATAACTTCAGTTTTATCTGAGTTTAACATGAGAAAATTACAGGTCATCCAGGTTTTAACATCCTGAAGGCACATTTAAAGTTTAGCTAACTGATGAGTTTCATCTGGTTTGATCGATAGATATAACTGAGTATCATCTGCATAACAATGAAAGTTTATGGAATATTTCCTGATAATATTGCCTAAAGGAAGCATATATAAGTGAAGAGGATTGGTCCAAGGACAGATCCTTGAGGAACTCCATGACTACATTTGGCCTGCATGGAGGACTCATCGTTAACATGTGCAAACTGAAATCAATCTGATAAATAGGACTTAAACCAGCTTAGAGTGGTTCCTTTAATGCCAATGAAATGTTCCAGTCTCTGTAATAGGATCTGATGGTCAATGGTATCAAATGCAGCACTAAGATCTAATAAAACCAGTACAGAGACAAGTCCTTTGTCTGATGCAATTAGGAGGTCATTAGTAATTTTCACCAGTGCTGTCTCTGTGCTATGATGAGCTCTAAATCCGGACTGAAATAAACTATTGCTCTGTAGAAAGTCACACAGCTGTTTAGCAACTGCTTTCTCCAGAACCTTAGAGAGAAATGGAAGGTTAGATATAGGTCTATAGTTTGCTAAAACATCCGGATCAAGTTTGGGCTTTTTCAGAAGAGGTTTAATTACAGCTACTTTAAAGTACTGTGGTACATAGCCTGTTGATAAAGATAGATTGATCATATCTAGTATAGAAGTGCTGACTAAGGGTAAAACATCTTTAAGCAACCTAGTCGGGATGGGGTCTAAGAAGCAGGTTGATGGTTTAGATGAAGAAATTATTGAAGTTAGTTGGTAAAGATTGAGGGAAGCAAAACAGTCTAAACATGTATCTGGTTCTACAGCTGTTTCTAAGGTTCCTGAGTTAAGAGATAAGTTGGTGCCAGTTGAGGGCAGGTCTTGGTGAATTTTGTCTCTAATAGCTAGAATTTTATCATTAAAGAAGCTCATGAAGTCGTAACTACTGAGAGCTATGGGAATACTTGGCTCAATAGAGTTGTGACTCTCTGTCAGCCTGGCTACAGTGCTGAAAAGAAACCTGGGGTTGTTCCTATTTTCCTCTATTAATGACGAGTAGTACGCTGCTCTGGCATTACGGAGGGCCTTTCTATAAGTTTTAAGCCTATCTTGCCAGATTAAACAAGAATTTTCCAGTTTTGTGGAATGCCAATTCCTCTCAAGTTTACGTGATATTTGCTTTAATTTGCGAGTTTCAGTATTATACCATGGAGCTAACCGTCTTTGTTTTATTATTTTCTTTTTTAGAGGGGCTACAGAGTCGAGTGTCATTCGCAGCGAGCCTGCAGCACTATCAACAAGATGATCGATTTGGGAGGGACTGAAATTAGCATAGGAGTCCTCCGTTACTTGCTGATGGAATTGCATCCTTAAATTTAGCTACAGAACTATCAGACAGACATCTTGTATAGAAATCTTTGCCCAATGGCGTGTAGTTCAGCAATACAAACTCAAAAGTTATCAAACAGTGGTCGGACAAAGAGGGATTCTGTGGAACACTATTAAATGTTCAATTTCAATACCATATACCAAAACAAGGTCAAGGGTGTGATTAAAACAGCTCACTCGGGCTTGGACCCCTAATAATAAAAATCAGAACAAAAACAATAGGGTTCCCAGCTGCTTTGCGGTACTGGGAACCGCAATGCCTTGCATTCGCGGGTTCCCAGCCCACTCGGGCTTGGACCTCTAATAACTAGAACTGCAAGCAGTTATAAGCGGGGTCCAAGTCTCCCGGCGCAAGTCGCCTCCCCAGCCCCGCGGAGGGCGCGCGAGTCGGCCCACGCCCGCCATGATTAATTGTCGGGGCCCGTGGAGAATAAATGAGCAGAGTTATACATGAAAGGGGCTTGCGGTTATGGAGATCTGAAATGAATGTATGTCTATGGGAGTGTTATTTGATTTCCAAGTAATAGCGCCACATAGTTTATCCGTGCTGTGTTT